GTGGCGTCCGCAACGGGGACTCCAGGCCCCCGGCGGCCACGCAGCGCCACAGCCCCGTCCCGGACATGAGCAGGTTCGCCAGGGGCATCACGCCCTTCGAGTTCGAGAACATGGCCGAGTCCACCGGCGTGTACCTGAGGATCCGCAGCCTGCTCAAGAACTCGCCCCGCAGCCAGCAGAAGAGCAGGAAGGCTTCCGAGTGACAGAGCTGGACAGCCACCGCCTCCCAGGTCCGGCCACCGCTGCTTCTCCTCAGCGGCGAAACGGGCAGGGGTAAAGATGCTTCGTTTAAGGTTTATACTATTTTTGGATTGTGGGTGTCCCTCAAGAGTGACGTTTTTTATGTCTTTTGTACGTTGTTTTCCCTTTCTACATTTTGCTAATTATCCTGTATATAAGTTTAATATATCACTTTTTAAAAGAAAAATCTAGCCATTTTAAATTCATATCTCAACTCCGACAACCAAATGAGAAAAATCAGGGATGGGCAGCTTTATCCTATTGGGATATTTTTGTAAGATTTACAGGCATCAATTTTAATAACACTTGTGCTTTTTGTAACTTCATTCTTCATATATGAGCTTAATATACAGGTATGGGTACAGCAGTTTAATAAATTTTCATACATAATTTTTTAAAAAGGCTTCACAATTAAGTTTTTACCTTTAAGTTTGGAAGAAAATTTTGCTAGCAAAGTTAGTGGTAACAAACGAAACAAAATTGCAAGTTTAGGTACATTCAGTGGACTTCATTCAGCCTTAATATAGAAACAGCAGAATCTTTTAAGTTAATTATTATAAATCCCCGGCCTTAAGCAGTTATTTGAGGGGGAAAAAATAGAAAGAGGGTACCTATAAAAATAATAATTTGAATTTGAACTCAGAATATTACAAGCAAATTGGCTGCTTTTTCTTCTCCTGTTTTGGTTTTTTATTTGCTTGTTTTCTGTTTTTGAGGCAGGGTCTCTCTATAGTTCAGTAGTTCAGGCTGGCCTTGAATTCTGTGTTGCCTAGGCCTACCTGAAACTCCCAGCAGTCATCCTGCCTCAGCCTCTTCCCAAGTGATGCGATTACAGGTGTGCACCACTACACATTGCTTTTAAGTGTCAGATACAGCCATGTGTGGTGGTGCACGCCTGTAATCCCAGCACTTGGGAGGCTGAGGCAGGACGATCACTGTGAGTTCCAGACCAGCCTGGGCTACAATAGTGAGTTCCAGGTCAGTCGCAACTACATAGTGAGACCCTGTCTCAAAACAACAAAACAAAACAAAAATGTCAGGTACATAAGTTATAGCTGAAACTAATTGCTTTTGTTTGTTTGTTTTTTGGTTTTTTGAGACAGGAGTCTCACTATGTAATTCAGACTGCCCTGGAACTCACTGTGTAATCCAGATTGGTCTAGAACTCACAGTGATCCTCCTACCTCAGCCTCCCGAGTGCTGAGATTACAGGCGTGCGCCACCAGGCCCAGCTGAGACTAATTGTTTTCTTTATGTGAAATGCTATTACGTCTTTATTCTTGGGCACATGATCTTGAATCACTAGTCTTAGGTAGTGTTATTCTGCTTCTAAGCCAACAGAGGGAGCAAAATAGAAAATTTTTGAGAATTTGAGTAATCACATTTACGGCTCTATAAAAAAAGGAAAGAAAATTATATGAAAGGTAGAATTAACTTTAAGGGCCTCATAGATCATATTAGAATAGAATGTTGAATAGTTTTGGTTTTTTTTCTCTTGAGTTTAAGTGCATAATAAAGGTAATATTCAGTAGTTTGCACTTTTATCTACATTGCCTTCCTCAGTGTTTCTATCAGTTAACCTACCACAGGGAAGAAAAGATCAGGTAGCACAAAGAGGTCAAAGGAATTGTTAGTGTTTAAAATGTGGTTCCTAGGGCTGGGGATTTAGCTCAGTGGCAGTGCACGTGCCCGGCAAGCACAAGGTCCTGAGGTCCAACCCTGGTACTGAAAAAAAAAGCACTAAAATGTATTTCCTAGCTGGGTGTGGCAGTGCACACCTGTAATCAAAGCCAGCCTGGGCTACAAAGGGCAGCCCAAACTTCTGACTGTTTGTTTGTTTGTTTATTGAGACAGAGTCTTCCTATGCAGTCCAGGCTGTCCTGGAACTCAGCGATCTTGTGCCTCAGGTTCCTGAAGGCTAGGACTACGGGCATGTGACACCACACCCAACTTTATTTTTAATTTTGAGACAGGATTGCACTCAATCTTCCAGGCTGGCCTTGAACTTGTCTCAACTTCGTAGGTAGCTGGGATTTTGACTCTGCACCACCACACTTAACCTCAGTGATTTTTTGTGGGGTGGGGGTACTGGGGATCGAACTGGGGTCCTTGCAGGCAGTGGAACCACTGAGCTAAATCCCCAGCCCTAAGTGATTTTTTTAAATATGATGATAAATACTAAAGCAATCCAGAATAAGTTAAAATGAGACAACTGATAGGTGAGAAAGGGTTGCATTGCCTGAGGAGGTGCCTGCCTCGAAATGCAGCCTGCAGAGAGCACTCTGGGTGGAGGCCAGCCTCCTGCCTGGGCTTGTGAGATTCTTCGGGATGGGGATTTGAATGTAATCTCTGCCTTGGGAGAAGAGGAATGTGGCTTGTGACATAGTTGCTGAAGCAACACCACCTCTTTGTCATCTCCTTAGCAGGTAAGTGGAAGGCCCCTCCTGTACCAAAACAGGCCTGTTTCTCCTGTCTTCAAAGAGGCTGCCTTTCTCCCATGGCTAAAGTACTGTCAACTTTCTTCTAATTTCTTCAAGTTCATTGCTAGAATCAATTTTGTTTTTCTGTCTTGCAAAAGCAACAAAGGTGGGTGGAGATTTAGCTCACTGGCACCGCGCCTGCCTCAAGCGCAAGGTCCTGAGTTCGATCCCCAGTTCCAAAAAAAAAAAGCACCAAAGGTGATCTCATAACTTTTAGTATCCTAGTTCCTTGTAGGCCACGACTCAGTTTTTAAGAACCCATTATCTTCATGCAACCTATGTTTTTTTTCACTTTATTTATTTATTTTTTGCGGGGGGAGGTACCTGGGATTGAACTCGGGTCCTTGTGCCTGCAAGGCAGGCCACTGAACCACTGAGCTAAATCCCCGGCCCTTTCTTCACTTCATTTAATAGTATAAACTCACTTCAAATGTTTTAAGTTATGTTGTTAAAGTGATTATAAATACCTTTTTTTTTCCGTACTCTAGGGATCGTTAACCTAGAGCCTTCACACTGAGCGACATCCCCAGCCCTTTATTTTTTATTTTTAGACAGGGTCTCACTAAGTTGCTAAATTACTGAGGCTGGGCTTCAGCTTTTTTTGAAGGGTGGTAGTTTGAGACAAGGTCTTACTGTGTAGTCCAGGCTGGCCTCAAACTTGTGGCAGTTCTCCTGCCTCAGCCTTCCAAGTGTTGGGATCACAGGTATGCATGACCACACCTGGACTAGGGTGTGAACTTTCAATCCTTCTGCCTCAGCCTCCCAGAGTGGAGGATTACAGGCAATGGTACTGGGGAAAATTTGCAGCTGTCTTTAAGAAGGAAAGAGGAAGGAAGAAGAAAATCTTTTTCCTGGGTCTCCAAAAGAAATGACTGCATCTGGGAGAGGGGATGGAGAGAGGTTGCAACACGAGATTAAGCTTAAAGACCTTCCCACCCATACAGCTTGCAGGACAGGTTTTTGTCGTTCACATTCAGATTCTTTATGTGTGGATTTTATGATTTAAAAAATAGCATCTCTGTAAAATTCATACATATCTTTTCTCTTCTGTTAGTTGCTGTACATTTTTTTTCCAGTACAGAGTGGTGACATCTGTTAGGAGGGATTTCGTCTAGACTCTCACATCACACACACACACACACACACACACACACACACACACACACACACACAAAAGAAAGAGACTGTGACATGGGCCAGGGATTTAGCTCAGTGGTTCCGCCGCCTATCTCAGAAGTGCAAGGTCTCAAGTTCGATCCCCAGTACCAAAAAAAAGAGACTATGACTGTTTCTGAAGGACAAGGAGGGCTGGCAGGACCCTGTGTCCATCCTCAGGGACAGGCAACTTGAGCAGGACAAGGTGGGTGTGGTCTGGGGTTGGAAAGACCACTGCTCACCACCCCTCCAGGGAAGTTTAGCCAATAAAGCACTGTTACTGTAGCTGTCAGTACCGAAGCCAGTATCCCAGCACTCACTCAGGAGGCTGAGGAAGGAGGGTCACCACAAGTTTGAGGTCATCCTGGGCTGCAGTGACTTCAAGGCCAGCCCAAACTACAGAGTGAGAAAACCAAAAAAGAAAAATAAAAATCATTGCTCAGTTTGGTAACCCTTTATTTTTAAAGTATCCATCCATAAATTACTTTTATTTCTCATTAAATGAGCAGCGTCATTAGCATGTTAATAACCAATGTTTATTATCCATTAGTGTGGCTTTCAATACCACTTGAAATATGTATATATCATCTTACAACCAATTTTCCAGTGCTGCTTATTTGTTACACATTACTGCAAAGCCATTATAAATTACTGAGGAGATATTTGGTTAAAAAAATAATACAGTCCCTGCCTGGCAAGTGGGGGGTCCTGAGTTTGATCTCCAGTACCACAATAAATAAGTCATACTACCCCATATAAATAAACTCTTGCTACTGAACAAAGTCTAACAGTATTTGCTAACCCTTTCATTTTTGTGCACCAATATATGTAACTAAATTGGAGGGAGGTTATTTGTTTTCTCAGAGGCAGGGATGGAACCCAGGGCAAGTACTCTACCATTGAGCTACACCCCCAGCCTGAGGGCTTTGGTTTTCTTTTTTTTTAATGTTTTATATATGTAAGTATATGTAACAAATGTGATGTCATTCTATATAGCACTTTATTTCCATATTTGGAATCTATTTTTTTTTCCCTGGTCCTGGGGCTTGAACTCAGGTCCTTGCTCTTTCAAGGAAGGCGGCAGTACCACTAAATCCCGGGCCCTATTATTCTTTTTTTTTTTTTTTATTTTATTTTCTCCCATTCCCCTCCTTGACCCCTCCCTTCCCTATGTATGTACAAAAGCTTTGTTTCCATTTTTTCCTTCTACAAAATCTATTATTCTTAACAGCTACACAGTATATTCTACTTTTTATTCCATATTGTTTACAATATTTGTTGTTAATGCTACAGCAAACATTTTTTATTTTTATTTTGTTGTTGTTTTGGTACCAGGGATCGAACTCGGGTCCTTGCACTTGCAAGGCAGGCACCAGAACCACTGAGCCAAATCCCCAGCCCAGCAAACATTTTTTTTTTCTTTTTTGGTTTTTTGAGACAGGGTCTCACTATATAGTTGAGACTGAACTGGAACTCACTATGTAGCTCAGGCTGGTCTCGAACTCAACAGCGATCCTCCTGCCTCAGCCTCCCAAGTGCTGGGATTATAGGCACGCTCCACCATGCCTGGCTAAGATATGTACCTTTTGAAACACGTGTTGCAAAATTTTATTTTCCAATTTGTCATCTTTATTTTAATTTGTTAATGGTATGTTTGGCAGTAAAAATTTCAAATTCAGCCACAGATTTACCTCAGTGGTGCTGCCACCTGCCTTGCAAGCACAGGGTCCTGAGTTTGACCCTGGTACCAAAAAAAATTTCTTAAGAAGAAAGAAATTTGATTAAAAGATTTCAAATTCAGAGGTTGGATGGGTTGCTTGGCAATAGTGTCCATGCCTAGTATGTGCAGGGTCCTGGCTTTGATTACCAGTACCCCAAAAAAAGTTTGAAATTATTTCAAGTCAAATAGTTTCTTTAATGAAGTGACGATTTCGGTATGTTGTTTTTTGTTTGTTTTTGTTTGTTTTTGCTTTTGTTGTTTTTGGAGACAGGATCTTCTTTTGAAGTTTATGCTGGCCTTGAACTCACTATGAAGCCTAGGCTAGCCTTGAATTTGCAGCAATCCTGCCTCAGCCTCCCAACTGTTGCAGTGCACCACCATGCTCAGCTGGTATAATGTTTTGTTTTCAGCAAAACTTTTTGCCAAGTTTACCTTCTGATATCCAATAATGTGGTTTATTGACTGAAACTTGAAAAATTAATTCCTTCATGGATTTAGGTGGTATGATTTTAATAAACCAATAATCTTAACAATTCTCCAAGTTTACTTCTTTATTTTTAGTACCGGGGATTGAACTCAGGACTTTGTGCTTATGAGGCAGGCAGTAGCACCACAGAGATAAATCCCTGGCCCTCCAAGTTAATTTTTGTGTAAATGGTTTTACTAATTACTTCCCAGATTTAGTTTACTATGCCTTAACATGTCACTTGGTTTTATTAATAAATTAGAAAAACAATGTTATTTTTTTTCCTTTTATTGAACTGTGTGTGTTGGGGTGGGGGTACTGGCAATTAAGCCCAGGACCTTTGCATTGCATTGAGCCATATCTTCAGCTCTTTTTTTTTTTTTTTTTTTTTTTTTTTTTTTGTACCAGGGATCCAACTTGGGTCATTGAGCTTTCAAGGCAGGTGGTGGAACCACTGAGCTAAATCCCCAGTCCTCTTTTTTGAGTTTTTAAATTTTGAGATATTGTCTTGCTAAGTTTCCTAGACTCAGCTGGAACTTGGAATCCTCCTGCCTCAGCCTCCCAAAATGCTGAAATTACAGGCAAGCACCACCGTGTCTAGCAGAAATGCATTTTTTATACAAAATTCACTGTCAATATGTTTAACCACAGAGCATGGTGGTGCCTACCTGTAAAGCTACTTAGGACATGGAGGCAGGAGGATCGAGAGTTCTCCCAGCATGGGCAACTTAGCAATTTAGTGAGACCTTGTCTCAAAATAAAAAATAAAATAAAATAAAATGGCTGGAAATATAGCTTAGTGCAAAGGCTCCGGGTTCAATCCCCAGTACCACGGGGGTCAGGGAGGGAGGTGGGTGCAGTCATATTTTTTGTTTGTTTTTGTTTTGTCTTGTTTTTTTGAGACAGGGTCTCACTATGTAGTTGAGACTGACCTGGAACTCACTATGTAGCCCAGGCTGATCTCGAACTCACGGTGATCCTCCTGCCTCAGCCTCCCGAGTGCTGGGATTACAGGCGTGCACCACCACACCGGCCTGTTTGTTTTTTGAGATAGCATCTTGCTACAGAGCCCAGGCTGGCCTCGAACTCACCATGTGGCCCAGGCTGGCTTCCAACTTGCAGTAATCCTCTTATGTCAGCCTTCTGAGTAGGGATTACAGTCTACAATCTTGGGCCACCACACCCAGCTGCTTTGGGCACTTTTGTAATAGAAAGGCTATGGCCTTCCACAGTGCCCAGCAGAGACCACTCCATGGGTGACATCACACCACAGTGACTTCTCAAGTTGTGGACGAGAGTTCATTAGTCATAAGTGAGAAAGACATGAAAGTGGGTTGGGACAGGTTGTGGGATGAGACCGGGGCCGTGTTTCTCATAAGCTGGTAACAGGTTTCCTTCTGTCCTTGCCATGCCTGTTAGGCCAGTACTGGGCTGGGCTCCCAGCAGCAATGACACTTCTGTTCATTGTTGGGTGCAGGTTACTTTCCAGCTTTTATTTATAAACATTTGGAAGAAACCAAGCCCCTACTATATTAGGGTAGTTGAAACCTAACCTGGGAGATATAAAAGTCATTAAATGCAATATATATGCAGAAGTTTCCAAAAATGCATGTCATAATTACATAATAGTAGTGCAAATATATACTAATAAAGTTTATAAAAGAAAGAAAAGGGGCCAGGGATTTAGCTCAGTGGTTCCACCACCTGCCTCTCAAGTGCACGGGCCCGAGTTCGATCCCCAGTACCAAAAAAAAAAAAAAAAAAAAAGAGGAAGAAAGAAAAGAATGCCAGGCATGATAGCCCACACCTGTAATCCCAGCACTTGGGAGGCTGAGACAGGAGCATCACTGAGAGTTCAAGGCCAGCTTGCACTTATACAGTGAGACCCTGCCTCAAAAAACCAAAAGAAAGAAAACCTAACATGGCTTTGTGACTTAGAGATGCAAAGAGTAGGAGAGAATTTATTACCTGTGATCATAACTAAAGGAAATAGTAAGTTTCCATGAGTTCTATCCAAATGGTCCCTGGAGCTCCAGTTAAAAACCTCATATTAGGGGTGCAGATTTAGCTCAGTGGTGCAGGCACCTGCCTTGCAAGCGCAAGGTCCTGAGTTCCTTCCCCCATAGTATAAAAATAAATGAAAAGAAATAAGAACTTCATATTAGAGAAATCAAAAGAGAAATTTCTTGGGCTTTTATTTCTTCTGAGGCTGAGGCAGCAGGATCTCCTCAAGTTCAAGGCCAACCTGAGCCGCATAGCCAGTCTCTTTCACAAACAAACACCACCACTCCCCAAGCCCCGGAATCTGTTCTCTCCCCTTCACAGCACGTTTTGCTCTCCAACATCCACTACTTTTTACTGTCCGCATTCCCACTCCAGAGTCTAAGTCCACAGGAGCAGGTATCTCTTCCTCCCCTGAAACAGCCCCCAGCCTAGAACAATGCCTGGCCCATGGACAAGCGCTCCGCACAAGTCCTGTTGGGCGAGTGACTCATTTAAAGGCCCACACAGCCTACTTGTTCCTCAGTGACCGAGGGTGGGGTGCTGGGTGGGGTGTGCTCAGTGCTGACACACCTGCCTGGAGGTCTGGACGTCTTGGTAGGGCAGAGGATTCCTGCACGGAGGGTCTTGGTTGATGTTCTCATTGCTCTTTCACAAGCAAAGGAGGAGAGGTTTGTAGGTTACAGTTCCTGGTCGGCTGGTTCCAAGGCAGGAAGGCGAGGCGGAGAAGGGCGCAGCTCACGCCAGGTGGGCTAGAAGCAGGGTGAGAAGGGAGAAGCCCCAAGGACACAAACCATCCAGGCCACGCCCCCGAGACCCGCCTCCGACTGGGCTCACTTCTTACCCGCAAATCAGCTGTCTTCCCCCACCGCCGCGATCCAATCACCTTGCAGACCCTCCAGGATTTTGTAGTTCCAACCCATAACGCAGATTAAGAGTTTGAATTCCACCCTGGGCTCACACGCGCAACCCTCCTGCCTCTGTCTCCCAAAGTGCTGGACTACAGGTGTGTACTACTGCGCCCCGCTTCCAACTCTCGATTCTGCGTTTTACCCTCTCCTAAATTTTCTTCACCACGTACTGAATTTCACTTTGGATAAATCGAAGCCATTTTCTAAATTAATTCTGAACCCTGATGTTCAGAGTAAAATTTCAAGTTCATTCATGTTCTTTGTGGGACTACTTCATTCCTGGGCATGTTGAGGACGTCAGGAGGCCTTCTTGTGTTCTTAAGAAACATCAAAACCAGTTGTATTTTAGAAAGGAAATGCATAGATAATTACAGGCACAAAACATAAAGATTCTATTGAATATTCATCAGTTACAGTGGGAAGTTTGTTGAATATTTTTATATAAACAGTATCAAATTTTGTCAAACGCCTTATCTACATCAAGACTACATATAGTTTCTAACTTTTATTCCATTGATTCAGTGTCTTACATTTTTCCCCCCAGTACTGGGAATGGAACTCAGAACCTTGCGCTTGCCAGGCAGGCGCAGTGCCACTGAACTACATCCCTGATCCACATTAATGGATTTTTAAATGACAAACCAATCTTGCATTGTTTGGATTCACCTTACTTGGTTATTGTATAGTTCTTTTATTTATATTTGTTTATTTATTTTGCAGTACTGAGTACTTCACTCAGAACCTTCACAGTGAGCTACATTCCAAGCCTGCCCACCTTTTTTTTTGTTTTTTGTTTGTTTGTTTTGGTTTCGTTTGGCTTTTTGAGACAGGGTCTCACTATGTAGTTGAGACTGACCTGGAACTCACTGTGTAGCCCAGGCTGGTCTCAAACAGTGATCCTCCTGCCTCAGCCTCCTGAGTGCTGGAATTACAGGCATGCCTGACCAAGCCTGGCTGTTCTGTTTTTTTGGTATCGGGGATCAAACTCAGGACATTGTGGTTGCAAGGCAGCCGGGGGAACCACTGAGCTAAATCCCTGGCCCTGTTTTGTTTTTCGAGACAGGGTCTCACTATGTAGTTCAGGATGGTCTTGAACTCACTATGTAGCCTGGGTCGGCCTTGAACTCATGGTAACCCTCCTGCCTCAGCCTTTCAAGTGCTGGGATTGCAGATGTTCACCACCACTCCTGGAAGTCTTTCCTTCTGTTTTGAGAGTGGTGTGTACCACCATGCCCAGCACATTCTCCCTCTTGATGAGATGAGCTACAAAATATTTTGGCTCCATTGATGAGATGAGCTACAAAATATTTTGGCTCCATTGTCCAGTCTGCTGCCATGTGCTGTAATTTCAAACAAAATATTATTCTCTAATTGAAGATTCTCATATATCACATGATCATTTAGAGGAATCTATTCAGTCTACCACCTATGAGCGTTTGAAAAATATTTTTAAAATATTCATATATTTTAAAACTGTTTTGAAACTTACCTATTTTAGAACTGAAATTAAAAATCAGAAACTTCTAGAACAGCAAAAAAATTAAGTGAAATGAGATATTGTTTGAAATCAGAAACTGCTGGGATAAGAATGTCAAATAATATTAACAAGCCTACCTAATTTTAGCACACTGAATTTTCTAAACACTCTAATCTTATCCATTTGGTCTGCATGAACAAACTGCTCTTCCAAGAATTTGTTTCATGACTGGCCCAGAGGGTCAAGTTCAAGTTCAAGTTGATGTGCATGTGTCGCATGATCGATTGCTGATAATAGAAACCTGTCCTGTTTCATCCACTTTGCTGGGAGCCACAGGAAATAAATAAGACTTCCAGACCTAGGGGAAGAGAAACAATATGGTTAACTAATAGAGGGGCAGTCCATGGTCCCTACCCCGAATCTAGAGCTGGGGCAGAGCTCCATGGCAGAGGGCTTGCCTAGTGTGGTGAGCTGACTAATGGTGAACTTGGAACCAGCTGAGCTGAGTTAGCATGGCTCTGGGCATGCAGGCCCCACCTGAGGATTATTACCAATGGCATAAAAAGAGAACTGGAAGGGAAGATTGCATGTTGTTTATTTTCTTGGAGAAGCACACCGAGGCTGGTTTTCCTGATATGAACTCCACTGTTTGGAGGTCCTCGCTGTCCCCGGGGAATGGCTGTTGTGTCAGGGAGCTCTGATCTTCACCTTGAATGTCACTTCCTGGATCCAGTGTGGATCCCTCAGCCTGGTGGCACAGACCCTTCGCTCTGCCGGCCAGGCTTTCTGGCTTCCACCACTGGCCTTTGGGCCTTCCCAGTGCAGACCCTCCATGTGACATGAGATGTTGCCATGGGCTCCAGGCTTCTGGCTGGACTTCTGGAGGATGCTGCCTTGGGCTTTCAACCTTCAGCTGGACTTGAGCAGGACACTGCCATGGGATCAAGGCCCTTGGCTGGATTCTTTGGGTCTCTAGTGGTGTGTGGACAGAGCTTTTGCCCTCCTCTGCATTTGACTCTTTGGGTGACTATTATAAAACAAACCTGTAAATTGTGTGTCCTGTATTAAACATGTAGCATGTGGAGGCCCTGGGTTCCTTCACCAACGCTTGAAACAAAACCACATGTCTACTGCGAAGTGCTCTAGGACGATCAGGGCCGGCTGAGAATTCTACCACCTGTGAGAATGCATTTGACTGTGGGCAAATAGAGATAAGAACAAGTGTAACTTCAAAAAGCATTAAACTTCATGATGGCACAGGCCTGTAATTTCAGCTACTTGGGACCCTGAGGCAGGAGGAGTGTGAACCTGAGGACTGGGGATGTAGATTACAGATACAGTGCCCCTGGCTTTGACCCTAGTACTACGAAACAACAAAAATAACATGAAATTTCTTGAAGCCATAATACAGTGGAAGGCCCACGCATTGCAATAAATGGTTTTAACTATTAGAACTGGCCCTGTGCCCAGTGTGATGGCGCACACCTCTTATCCCAGTCTTTAGGAGGCCGAGGCAGGAGGATTATTGCACGTTTGAGGCCAGCCTGGGCTAAATAATGAGTTCAAGTCCAGCCTGAACTACATAGCAAAACCCAGTCTCCAATAGATAGACAGATAGATAGATGATGGATAAACAAAACATTGTATTGTGAAGGATTTTGGTTTTGGATGATACTACAAAGAGACAAAAAGAGGGGCTGGGGATGTAGCTCAGGGATAGCATATTTGTCTAGGATGGATAAGGTTCCATCCCCAGTAAGGACAGAGACAGAGTCACTTTTGGATTCATGCAGATCCTCTACCACAAGAAAGGTAAACAAACCATCAGGTCAAACAATACGAAGCTGAAGTTTTTCAGACAAAAATTGATTAGCAGTAATTTCACTGTGTTCAATTTAGGAGTTGCTGAAAGTCTGAATGCAGCCCAGGCTGGCCTTGAGCTTGTGGCAATCCTCCTGCCTCACCCTCCTGAGTGCTGGGTTTACAGGTATGCACCACCACGCCCGGCCATTTTGGTTTTTGGCTTTGTTTTGTTTTGTTTTTGTGTTATCAGGGGTTGAACTCAGGACCTTGGGATTATTTTTTTTTTTTTGGTACTGGGGATCAAACTCGGGTCCTTGTGCTTGCCAGGCAGGCGGTGAAACCACTGAGCTAAATCCCCAGCTTGCGATTCTTGATTTTGTTTTCCGAGACAGGGTTTTACTATGTAATTTAGGCTGGCCTCAAACTTACTACATAATCTAGGCTGGTCTTGAATTCCCAGCAGTCCTCTTGCTTCAGCCTCCTGATATCTGGGATTACAGGCACACACCCCCATGCCCGGCACAGCCATCCATTTTGTAGCAAGGCCTATGCATTTTTTGTTTGTTTCGTTTTGTTTTTGGTACGGGGGAATTGAACTCAGGTCCTTGTGCTTGCAAGGCAGGTGACGGCACCACCACGCTAAATCCCTGACCTGGCCTATGCGCTTTTAATTTGGATCTTACTTGATGCTCAGTCCAGTGGTCTGGAGCCTTTAATTTACCCAGTCTCAGTCCTCCAATCTGTGAAACGGGGATAATAACAAGGACTTTGCCTCCTGTTGTGTCAGGACACAATGTGGTAACAAGCAATTAGTCTCTGCTATTCAGACACAGGATCTGGAGCCAAGCCCTGTGGCTTGTTATTACCCAGCATATTTTTAGCTTGAAGACATGGAAAATGTAAGTGGCTGGCTTTCCTGGCAGTGGTTTCCTAAGTAACTTTTTTTACAGGCATCAGTCTACAATTGTAAACCTTTTTTTTCTCTTGTATACCAGGGATTGAACCCAGGGAGCTATATCGCCAAGCTCTTTTACTTTTTATTTTGAGACAGGGCCTCACTAAGTGGCTAAATTGCCCAGGCCTGGGGCTTGAACTTGCAACTCTTCTGTCTCAGCCTTCAGAAAGTGTGCACCTCACCCAGCTCGAAAGACTAAACTTTCTACAATGAAAAGATTCTATTTTTTCCGTTTGAACGATGATATTTTGACTATCTTACTTTCCTTTCTGATGGCGACATCATATGTGATTAAATTTATTCAGACACAATTTATTTAATTTATGTAATGCATGCCTGTAATCATAGCACTTGGGAGGCCAAGGCAGGAAGAACACAAGTTTGAACACAGTCTAGGCAATTTAGTGAATTAGTCAATCGCAGGGTTTTTTTGGTTGTTTTTTTTTGAGACAGGGTTTAGCTTTGCAGTCAGGCTGGCCTTGAACTTACTCTGTAGCCCAGGTATTTGTGCTTCAATTTAGGTGGTCCTCCTGCCTCAGCCTCTCAGGTACTGAAATTACAGGTGTATGCCAACACACCAAGCTAGTATAGTGAATTAGTGAGGCCCTATCTCAAAATTAAAAATTTAAGAAAGGACTGGTATTGGGTATGGGAGGCTGAGGCAGGAGGATCACTTCAAGTTTGAGGTCAGCCTGGGCTACAAAGTGAATTCAAGACCAGCCTGGACTACATAATGAGACCCTATCTCAAAAAAAAAAAAAAATTGTATCATGAAAAACATACAAAGTGATTTTCTTTTGCACTTAAGATCCTTGAAGTAAACAGAGAAAGTTAACTTAGCAGCCTGAAGCCTTGCTTCATACCGACAAAAGGAGTTTATTAAACTAAAATTAACTTTCACACCAAAGGTGCCACTTTTTGCTTTTATGCTTTGCACACACTTACAAAGTAAAAAAAAAAGTGCTGTAACACCTAGAAAACTGATTTGTGATGCCAACAGAACTCACAAGCTTAGGGCCTGGTGAACTGGCAATGGAGTGGAAGATTTTCTTTCTTTTTCATTCTTTTGCTATGCTGAGCGTTAAACCCAGGGCCTTAGGCACGCTGGGAAAACACTCTCTGAGCTGCAGCTACAGCTCAAAGGGGAAGATCTGAGTAGTGATTTGTAATACCTGTTTGTGGTTACCAATAGAATGATGATAATTTAAGAAGTAAAGGGGCCTGGGATTCAGCTCACTGGCACCAGGCGTGCCTCAAAAGCACAAGGTCCTGGGTTTGATCCCTGGTACCAAGAAAGGAAAAAAGAAAAAAAAATTTGGGGATAAAAAAGTGGACCCCAGTGTAGTGATGCATGCCTATAGTCCCAGCCCTCAGGAGGCTGAGGCAGGAAGATTGTCATGAGTTGGAGACCAGCCTGGGGTTACATAGTAGTTCAAGGCCAGCCTGGGCTACATAGTAAGATCCTGTTTCAAAAACAACTACAACAAACAAAAGTGGAAAAAAGTCCCCTTACTTTCAAAGAATTGTAATAATCCTTTCTTAGAGATTACTGTGAGAATCACTGAGCTGCTATTGTTACCGTCACCGCGTAGGGACAGTCTGGCCACTTTGACTGGTGGCCGGATAATTCGAAGCAGCTATTGTCCTGAAACTGCTTAGCAGGGAAAAGCTTTAGTTTCAAGAGGGCAAGCAGCTTAGATGGGCGGTGCTTAGATGACATTCCAGTGGGGGGCTCTGAGAACCAGGGACAGTCTCTGAGCCCCTTGTCCCGGTCCAAAGCCAAAGAGACAGTGCTGTTTCCTCTTCCCGACCCTCAGCTCCCAGAGCTCAGGGCTTGGAACGAACGTGGGCAACTGAAGCACCTTTGAAGATTTGACCTTTTGGAAGATTGTATCCTGGAAAAAATGCAAACTTGGCTGAGAAAATTTCCTGTGGCTGCAGCAGGGGCAACATTTGGAAAAGGGGGCCACTAGGGTTCTGTGACATAAAGCCGGGGCCACAGATTAGTCTCGCCTTTGACCTTTTGTGATGTGCAGTGTACTGGTGCCTCTAGTCCTGTTTTCCCTGTGTTTGTTTGTTAGTTTTTCAGTACCGGAGATGAACTCAGGAGCTTGCATTTGCCAGGCAGGTGCAGTACACTGAGCTACATCCCTGGCTATTTGGCTTGGTTTTCCGAGGCAGGGTTTCACTACACAGATTGGGCTGGCCCGAATTTGCCATGTAGTCCAGGCTGGCCTCAAACTTGTGATCCTCCTGCTCCAGGCTCTTGAGAGCTGGGATCACAGGTGTCAGCCACCACCCACCAGGCTTTGCCCAGGCTTTTGCAGTGTGAATCCACTTGCTTCTCAACAACAGCCCCTCTAAAGGTGCTCTTGGAATAAGTGCTACTCTGCCTGCTTCAAGGTTTCCAAAAATAGTTTTGAAAAGGAGAAAAAAAACAACAACAACTCACTGTTGAGACCTCTTTGTTCTTTTGTTTTGTTGAGACAGGGTCTCACTATGTAACCCAGGCTGGCTTTCACTCACTCAGATGTACCAGGGATTGAACTCGGGTCCTTGTGCTTGTGAGGCAGGCAGGAGAACCACTGAGCTAAATCCCCGGCCTCTGCAGCCACCAGCAAGATCCAAAAGGGCCTGGCTATGTCTTCAGCTGGCAGCAGACCGCCTCATCCCTGTGCGAAAACGTACCGTGGAGACCCCAAGAGGGTGGAGCAGCCAGGAATGAGGATCCCTGAGAGCTGCCACCACAGCAGTGCCATTGGGGCAGGGCCGCCCAAGCCCTTTGGGACACGACAGGCTCGTATCTTGTCACAGATTGCCCTGGGTGCCGCAGCTGGGACTACACAGTTTACTCTTTGCTCTGCTGGACTTCTGTCTTGCTTTGGTCCCATTCTTTTTTCCCCATCTCTCCCTTTGGCCTGGGAATGTTTACCTTGTGCTTTGGCATGTAGGCAGTTTTCAGCTTTTTTTGCATTTTTACAGGGCCTCACAGCTAAGAGTTTGTCTTAAATCTCAGAGGAATCTTCAGCAATACCGAAACTGTTAGGACTTTGACAACATTCAGAAATGGACTGAATGCATTCTGCATAAAGGGATGTGCGTGAGTCTTTTGGGGGCCAGAGTGGAATGTTACGGTTTATATCCAGATGCCCCCCAAGCCTCGTGTGCTCACGGCGGGAAAGGTGAAGGTGATGTGACCGTGAGTGTGTGAGTCTCACCTTGGAGTAGTCCTCCGATGAGTTTAGAACTAAACGCGATGTTGGGAGGTGAAGCCTGGGCTGCAGGTAGGTCCCTGGGAGCGTGGTCTGGAAGGGTTGATCTCCCTCCTCCCCTCTTGATCTTTCTGCTCCTGCTGCCATAAGCTAGCCTTTGACGTGTAGCGCTGGAGACACTGACTGTGGACCAAAGCCTCTATAAACTGTGAGTAAAATACACCACTCCTAAAAAACAAAAACAACAGCAACAAAAAAGGACTACTCTGCCATGTATGGCACACACTGTAATCACAGCACACGGGGGGGCGGGCTGAGGTAGGAGCATTGCTGAGTTCAAGGCCATCCTGGGCTACACAGGGAGACTGTTTCAAACAAAATAAAGAAATAAATAATAATACTCCTGCCAGGTGTGGTGGCGCATGCCTGTAATCCCAGCACACGGGAGGCTGAGGCAGGAGGATCGCTCTGAGTTCAAGACCAGCCTGGGCTACATAGTGAGTTCCAGGTCAGTCTCAACTACATAGTGAGACCCTGTCTCAAAAAAAAAAAAAAATTACCCCTCCTTAAGTTGTGGGTTTTTTTTTTTTTTTTTTTTTCCCAGCAATGAGGAAGTACAGTAACTAAGACAGGGTCCAATCAGGGAAGAAAGGAAAAAATAATTCAAAATCTTTTCTTTTCCTTCAGTATAGAAGATTGAACCAAGGGCCTCTGTGCTGAAATACATTCCCAAATCTCTTTTTAATTTTTATTTTGAGCCAGGGTCTTTTTTTTTTTTTCCCCTAGCACCAGGGATCAAACTCAGCACCTTTGCTTACAAGGCAGGTGTGGGGCCCCTGAGCTAAATCCCTGGCCTGAGCCAGGGTCATACTAAGACCCTGAATTAGCCGAGCTGGTCCTGAATGTGATCCTCTCGCCTCAGCCTACCAGGGAGCACCATCATGCCCAGCTCAACCTTGTTTACTTGCTTTTTTTTTTCCTTGAGTGTATACATGTGGTACTAGAGATTGAATCCAGGGCCTTTGCACTGATGTGCATCATCAACCATTTTTATTTATCTTTTATTTTGAGTCAGAGTCTTACTACATTGCTAAATTACCTAGGCTGGGATCAACCCTGCCTTAGTCTCTCCCAGAGTGTGGGGATTACAGGAATATATCACCAAGCCCAGCTTCAACTTGCTTTTGTTTAATGTATTTTTTCTGAGACATCCTGATATGTTTCATTTACAACAATTATTGTATCCATGTGTATCCAATTGGCCTTAACATTTAAAAACATATACCAGGAAGACACATATACTCCTACTCACACAGAGTGATGTATGAAATCAGTTAAATTCATTCGGTAATAAAACCCCAGGTATGGCAGCCCACACCTGTAATCTCAATACTAGGAAGGCTGAGGCAGGAGGATTGCCACGAGTTCAAGGCCAGCCTGGAATACGTAGTGAGACCTTGTCTCAAAAAGACAAATTAAAAAAAACCTGCAATAAACCTCCCAAAACAGCAACAACAACAACAAAAACTTAGTAATAAGAAGTTCAATAAACTAATTAATGAAAGCCAGGCATGGTGGTGCATGTCTGTAATCTTAGCACTTGGGAGGCTGAGGCAGGAGGATCACTGTGAGTTTGAGGCCAGCCTGGACTACATAGTGAGGTCAAGGCCAGTGTAGACATACATCAAGACTATGTCTCAAAAACAAACAAACAAAAAGTTCTAAAACACCAAAAAAAACAAAAACAAACCCAACAAACAAACAAACAACCAAAAAAACCCCCCAAAAAACCCTACTTAACATGACTTTAACATTATTTGGGTGGGGGTGCTGGAGAGCAAACCTATGATTTTGGCTTGTATCTAGCTTCTTTCGATCAGGACAATATTTTGGGGGAGTCATCCAGGTTGGGAGCATGCATCAGTATGTTTTTTTGTTTGTTTCTTTTTGTTTTTGAGTTAGGGTTGAACACTGAGATCCTCCTGCTTCAGCCTCCTTGAGGGTTGAGAATACAGGTGGGTACCACCACACCTGGCCAGTGTTTTTAGTGGCTGAGTAATGTTCCCTTGTGCCTGTGCATCCCACTTGTTTACCCACTTGTCAGGTGATGGGATGCCTGGGCTGTGCACACCTTTCAGTTCGTGTGACTCGTGCTACTGTGAACATGTGCGCACGTGCACTGGAGTCGGCTTCATGAGCTGAAGATAAAATCCACTTTCCATACATTCAGCAAATATTTGTTGGATTAAAACTGTTGCATCAACCACTAATTTCATAAATCTTTAGCTTTGCTGGATAAAAGTCACAGAATCATATTCATTTAGGTTTTTTTGAGACAGGGTCTTGCTGTGTAGTTCAGGCTGGCCTTGAGCTCACTGTGTAGACCAGGCCGACCTGGAATTCACAGCAATCTTCCTGCCTCATCCTTCTGAGCACTGGGATCACAGACCTGCACCACCATGCTCAGCATTCATGGAATTTTTTAAAAAAGCAAAATGTTGAAAGAATAACAAAGTACTAAATTAAATCCAATCAATCTCTTAAGCCCATGTTGTCTCTACTCCGTTAACAAAGTGCCCTGTGCACAGGGTTCTGTAATGTCAGCTGCCCTCACCCTTACCTCTGGGCTGCTGCTTTGGTCTGTGCCTTCTCACAATTGGGCTGGAGTGGACCCCTTGGAAACTTCCCACCACAGGCATTTCTATGATTCTGTGGCACAGTAGTCTTTTTTGTTGTTGGGTTTTTTTTTTTTTTTTTTTTTGGTACCAGGATTGAACTTGGGACCTTGCACTTGTGAGGCAGGCGGGGTGCCACTGAGCTATATCTTCAGCCCTGTTATTTTTAAAGTACTAATTGATGAGTAAAAATTGTAGATATTTATAATATATGTTTTATATATAAATATCTAAATCAAGGTACTTAACATGTGTGCATTACCTTGCCCATACTTATCATTTTTTTGTGATGAAAATCTAATTTTTTTTGAGAGGGTCTCACTGTGCAGTGTATGCTGGCCTCATGGTAATCCTCCTGCCTCAGCCTCCTGAGTGCTGGGATTACAGGTGTGTGCCACCACACCCAGCTCTTACCAATTTTCAAGAATGCAAACCAGCCCTAGGTGGTGCACACTTGTAATGGCGGTATTCAGGAGGCTGAGGCAGGAGCATCACTGCAAATTTGAGGCCATCCTGGCTACACACTGAGTTCAAGGCTAGGCTGAAGTACATAATGAGGCTCTCTCAAAGCAAACAAACAAAATAAAAACATTAAAAATAGATATGTTATTAATGGTGTCACAATGATGTACACAAAGGAGTTAAATTTGAAATTGTTGCTCTTTACTGTGGTTCAGGAACTTAAAGAGAAAGGAAAGGCAAATTTGCTCTTAATTGAAAGTGTTATGTTTTGACAGTATTTATTTCTATTTTTTTTTTCTTTTAGTTTTTGAGACAGGGTCTCACTATGTAGAGACTGCCCTGGAACTCACCATATCACCCAGGATGGTCTCAAACTCACAGCGATCCTTCTGCCTCAGCCTCCTGAGTGCTGGGATTACAGGTGTGCACAACCACACCCAGCTTCATTTCTATTTTAAAAGCTCTATAAATCCTCACATCTTTAGAACAATTTCCAAAGTATTTGTCAACCAGGATTTCATACCAAATTTTCCTTGAATGTAGATAAAAACACTAAGTGCTTTAGTAACAGACTTAGAATCTTTCTAAACAGCAATGAATCCATTTTAAAACATTATTTATAGTACTTTTCTCCAGATGTGTGGGGTTATCATTGTTTTCTTCCTTTTGCTTGGCTTAGTTTGATGCAATGAATATCTGTTCTTTTTTTTTTTTTGCAGTACTGGGGGTTGAACTCAGGACCCTGCACTTGTGAGGCAGGCATGGGACACCACTGAGCTAAATCCCCAGCCCTATACTCTTCCTTTTGAGACAGGTGTTAGCTATATGGACAAGCTGGCCTGGAGCTCCTGGGCTCAAGGATTCCTCCTGCCTCCCCTCCTGAGGAGATGGGACTGCAGGCTATCTCAGACAGCCCAGCCTTCACCAGCCTTTTATTTTGTCTGTTTGCTGTAATGAGGACAGAACCCAGGTCTTTCACACTGAGCCTTTTACTTTTATTTTCTATTTTTGGTACCGGGAATCAAACTTGGGACCTTGTGCTTTTGAGGTAGTGAGTGGCACCAATGAGCTAAACGTCCGGCCCACAACCTTTTATTTTTATTTTGATACCAGTTCTTGCTGAGTCACTAAATTGTCCAGGATGGGTTTGAACTCAGGATCTTCCTGTCAGCCTCCTAGAGGATCACAGAAGTGCACCACCATGCCCAAGGGACACCTATCATTTTGTAGAGGAAATTGCTGAGTATATTCTCTACTTATTTTATTTTGATACTGGGGATTGAATTTGGGACCTTGGGCTTGCAAGGCAGGCAGCAGAACCACTGAGCTAAATCCCCGGCCCTCCACTTACTTTATTTTATTTTATTTTATTTTTTTATTTATTTATTTATTTAATTTATTTATTTATTTATTTATTTATTTATTTACTTATTTATTTATTTATTTATTTATTTGGCTTTTTTGAGACAGGGTCTCACTATGTAGTTCAGACTGCTCTGTAACTTCAGTGTAGGCCAGGCTGGTCTCTAACTCACAGCGATCCTCCTGCCTCAGCCTCCCAAGTGTTGGGATTACAGGCGTGTGCCCCCACGCCCTGCCCTCTACTTATTCTAGATGAGGATTTTAATATCTCCCTATTTTAAAATTTATTTATTTTTGGTACTGGGGAGTGAACTCAGAACATTGTGCTTATGAGTCAGGAGTGCTACCACTGAGCTAAATCCCTGCCCCCCTACCACACAGGTCCTTGCTCTTGCAAGGCAGGTGGCGGAATCACTAAATTAAATCCCCGGCCCTCTTCCTATTTTTTTTTTGTACCGGGGATCGAACTGGGTCCTTGCGCTTGCAAGGCAGGCCACCAAACCACTGAGCTAAATCCCCAGCCTCTCTTCCTATTTTTTAAAGAAATTAAAGTAATGCATGCATAGGATTTTAAGAAATGAAATACAGGCCAAACATGTGATGCTTGTCTGAAATCCCAGCTGTTCTAGAGGTTGAGTGAGGTAAGAGGATCCCAAGTTTGAGCCCAACCTGGGCAATTCAGCAGGATCTTACCTCAAAAAAAGGGTAGAGGGAAGTTGAGGTTGAGGATGTAGCTCAGTTGCAGGCCTGAGTTCAATCACCAGTAATGCAAAAATGGTAAAGACATAGTCGGCATGGTGGCACATGCCTGTAATCCCAGCACTCGGGAGGCTGAGGCAGGAGGATCGCTGTGAGTTCAAGACCAGCCTGGGCTACATGGTGAGTTCCAGCCTGGGCTACATGGTGAGTTCCAGGTCATTCTCAACTACATAGTGAAACTCTAAGTACAAATTTTATAAAAAAAAAAAAAAAAAAAAAAAAAAAAAAAAAATGACAGCAACCTCTTCAAAAAAACCAAAATCAGAGTTTTTCTGCCCTATCCCTCCCTACTCTTAATCCTAAAACCACTACATTTTTGCTTTTTTTTTGATACTGGGAATAGAACTCGAGGCCTCGAACTTGCCAAGCAGGGCTGTGCCCCTGAGCTACACCCTCAGCTCATGCTTTTACTTTTTGTTTCAGTTAACTTCCTCTCTCTAAAAATGTACTTGCTGGGCCAGGGATTTAGCTCAGTGGTTCTGCCTCCTGCCTCACAAGCACAAGGACCTGAGTTTGATCCCTGGTACCAAAGAAAAAAAAAAAAAAAAAAAAAAAAAGAAACAAACACTTGCATGATTATTTATATATCAACTGTAGGCAATGCCTATTGACTTTCTGTTGTGGCAGAGGCCCAACACAGAGCCAGCCTTTTGGTCCATGAATGACGGGAGAGTGCTTGGCTAGTGCACAAGAGTGCTTGTTTTTTTTTTTTTTTTTTTTTTTTTGGTATGGGGGATCAAACTCAGATCCTTGTGCTTTTTTTGTTGTTGTTGTTGAGACAGGGTCTCACTATGTAGTTCAGGCTGGTCTTGAACTCACAGTGATCCTCCTGCTTCAGCCTGAGTGCTGGGATTACAGGCGTGCACCACCACACCCAGCAAGATCCTTGTGGTTTTGAGGCAGGCACTGGAACCACTGAGCTAAATCCCTGGCCCTGGAATTCAGTTTTTTAATAACAAAAACTAGAAGGGCCTAGAAGGCATGGTGCTCAGTGGTGCCAGGCCAGGTTGGCCTTAAACTATGGGCAATAATCTTTCCTCAGCCTCCAGAGGCAAGACATGGGGCGTGCACTTTGCCCAGCTCACAATAATATTTTTATTTTATTTTTTGGTACCGGGGATTGAACTCCGGTCCTTGCGCTTGCAAGGCAGGCCACCGAACCACTGAGCTAAATCCCCGGCCCCATAATATTTTTAATAAGCAATCCAGGCTTGGTGGCGCACACCAGTAATCCCAGCACTCGGGAGGCTGAGGCAGGAGGATCGCTGTGTTTTTGAGACCAGCCTGGGCTATACAGTGAGTTCCAGGTCAGTCTCAACTACATAGTGAGACCCTGTCTCAAAACCATTCCTCAAAAGGATCTGCTTAGCAGAATGAATAGAGGGAAAAGAGCAAACACAGAGGTGTTTATGGTTACACCTCACTGTTTTAAAGGGTTTTTTTTTTTTTTGGTACTGGGTTTTGAGCTCAGGACCTTGAGCTTGCAAAGCAGGCAGTGGAACCACTGAGCTAAATCCCCAGTCCTACACCTCACTATTAACAGGGCTCACCAGACAAAGTAAGATGCAGCTCCTACCAAAATAGGGCACCAAAACCCATGCTACCTGTAGGATAAATTGCAGATTTGCTAACTGGAAAAAGAATTTTTAGGTAATTTGTCTTTGCAGGAGCATAAATGTATTTTTTAGGCAGAAATTTAAACGTACACACTCAAAGAAATACAGTGCTGGCCCTTGAGAGGCCCACACTTTATTTCCCGGAACTGGGATATTTATGCTTCTCTTGAGGGCCTTGGAACCCCAGGAAAAAGTAGCGCACTCCCCAAAAAAGGGTACTGGCCCATTTCATGGGTATGAGCCTAGTTTTTCTTCCTTAAAGTGAATAATCTAAGCATTCTTTGAAGTCTGTCAATCTGTTTCTTGATCTTAGGATCACATTTCTGCTGTCAGTTAAGCCAATGTGAATTTATAGTATTTCTGAGTTTCAGTGTGATGGGTCTAGAAGGAAAGAACCCTAAATTAACCAAGGAAATGCGGATATGGATCACCTTGCATAACTTCGACTGTGTCCTGGCAGTTGTAGGTTATTAAAAAATACAAGTTTTTTTTGGGGGGTACTGGGGATCGAACTTGGGACCTTGTACTTGCAAGGCAGGCGGTTGAACCACTTAGCTAAATCCCCAGCCCTAAAAGTACAATTTTTAAGGCTGGGTGTGGTGGCACACACCTGTGGTCCCAGCACTCCAGGCTGAGGCAGGAGGCTGGCTGAGGGCGGCCTGGGCCACATGGTGAGTTCAAGGGCAGCCTGAACTACATAGCAAGACCCGTCTTAAATAACCAAATGGGACCGAGGTCCCGATCTGACCTTTCAGATCAGGAACATGGATCCTGCATCCATGGGCACTACCGTCACCTCACCGTGCAGCTCGTTCATTAGGGCGATGTTGAATTAGGTCCCAGAATATTTTGTCCTTCAAGACAGGAATGGCGGGGAGGCCCGCAGATCCACGCCTGCTTTCCGGACTTCCTCGTTTCCAGCGTGGTTCCTTCCCCAGCTCTGTGCGAGCCTGAGGTCCGGGCAGCACTGTGCTTTGAATAAAGGTCAGCCGCGGAGGTCATCCTCTAGATGGTCCCCTTCCATCGGGAAGGGGGAGGAAGCCCGGGCCCCCCTGACAGCGCACGTCCCGGCCAAGGCTTGCAGTTCCTGGGGTTGCCATGGTCCGTGGGAGTGAAATGCTGGCCGCCGCCTGCTCCCCGGCCGGAGCAGGCTGTTGCAGCGTCCTCTCCGGTTCCTTTCAAAAGCTTTTCAAGAAGACGGGGCGGGGGGACGAGACAGGAACCTGGGCCTCTGTCCAAGTGGCCCAGAAGCCCCTTGGGCGAATAAAAGAGGCTTTTCTCACCCTGGGCTTGCTTCAGAGGGCTTAACCTCGGTGTCTTCCTGGAGAGCAGACCGGCTTCCCCCGCCCAGCCCGCCGTGGGCAGCGCATTCCACCTCTTTTCCGAGGATTGCTCGCTCCGGCGGCGGGAAGCGGCGGGCCGTGTGGCCGTGCGAATTCTGGGGGAACTTGGCAGGAGACCGGGAACGGCGAAAGGCTGACGAGGCGCCCTAGCGCAGGCCTAGGTTTGCCCCCGCA